AAGAGGATCCAGCTTGGGATGCAGTGAGAAATACATGATTCAGAGGAAAATGGGATTGAGTAAACAGCTATACAAGCAAATTCAGTGTCTCAATCTGCCCTCACATATTTACCAATTTCTGAGTTAAAAAGAAAAAAACCCACAAAGTAAAGTAAGTGAGAATACTGACACGCGCCTAACCTCAGAGCACAAACAAGAGAAGATGGAAGCACACTGCAGCAAGAATCAAGACTCAAAAAAAGGGGTAAACAGCCAAGAGAATGGTCATGTCCTGGGAAAACAGCCAGTACTTCACGAGAGGCCAGTAGTGGTCAGTAAAGAAACAACAGAGATTTTTTTAAAAAGGAAAAAAAAAAGGAAAAAAAAAGGAAAAGCAAGTCCAGAGTACATGACTACTGAAAAATAACACAATACTGGTTCTACTAGAGGCAGTGTAAAGGCTAAAGAAGGTGTAAGGTATCTGCTCTATGCTTAGAGGAGAAACAGGAACACTTTTTTTTCAAAAAAGACTTTTACCAAAACAAATCAGGCACGCACATACCATAAACTTGTGTTTATGGCCATGGAACAGACTTCGAAATTTTCTCCCTTTTGTTGACCTCAAGCAGCAGTACAACCCCACAAACTGTATATTGTTCTCACTTGTTTCCTAAGAAAACAGCGATTCATGGTTCTCATGACAAATGTAAAGTGGTAACAGCAAGGCCTATGAGACAAGATTTTCAAAAGTAACTAATGACTATGCAGGCTTAGCTTAGCTGGCGTGACTGATTTTCAAAGCATACTCCAAAGTACTGGGCTGCTTAAAGCTTTTTTTGTGAATGTATCAAAAAAAGGTGCAACTGCAAACTTCATGAGTCACTTTTGAATGTATTGGGCCTGGACTATCTCTTTAAAGATTTCTTATTTAAAATAAGATCTTCCTATTTTAAACCATTCTCTTTTTAATCCCTCTCAATCCACCCCAAAAATGACCCTAGTCCAATTCCCACTATGAAATGTTGATTCTGATTATCATAACTCTCATTTAGACAACACACTACTACACGTTACCGTACACTGACAATTACCGTACACTTATAATGCTGCTTTGAGCCAAAGTTCTTATTATTAACCTTAATGACCAGAAAACACCGAATAGAAATAAATCCGTACTATTTTCTAACAATCAAGCAAGCAATGATCTGTAGCAACCTGGCACAACTACAGCAAATGTCTCATCTCTATGAAGATCAAATATGGTAAAACCAAAAATCTCGTTTTTCATCTGTTGATGCATACATACTCATTCAGAACATACACAGGTATGGATATGTATACAACATATGTATATGTTATATACAGCTTTATATAATATATATTATCATATATCAACTTTATATAATATATGAAATACAAATAGTATATCTGCCTCCATAAAGACATGCCCCTTTCACAATGCACATTTCCCGCTGAAGCGCATTAGGAGGATGTCGAGCTTGCTAAGTCAAGCACTCAAAAGTTAGAAAATGTCAAAATTACACCAGCTCTACAACCTTGCGTTGATTTTCATTTTGTGTAGTCTTTATTTGCATAACCCAT